CTCAAGACATGACTCGCAGAGGGAGATTACAGCTGCACCCACTACAAATATTTGTGAACGCCCATCTCGACAGTCTGGATCCGCTGATACTACCGGACAACCTGAAACCATACCTCCTATGGTGGACTCGGAAGTCGAATGTTTGCGGAGGAACCTTTTTTGTCAGAACCGATTTGCAACACTCATCTCTACGTGGATGCATCACTACAAGGATGGGGTGCTCACCTTGACAACAAAGTGGCAGCAGGGAAGTGGTCGAGTCAGGATCAGAGTCTGCACATCAACCTGTTGGAGATGAAAGCAGTGATCAACGCTTTACAACACTGGTCCAGCATACTAAGGAACGCAAGGCTCACGGTCCACACGGATAACTTCACAGTAGCGTTCTACATCAACAAACAAGGATCAACAAGTCTGCTAAAACTCAGCTTTCTCCTGTTCAGCATCATCGACGAACCTGAACATCTACATGAAGGCATGCCACATTCCAGGAGCAAAGACTGTCATAGCAGACTCCCTATCTCGTCCACTACAACCATCCCTGACGGAATGGAAGTTACATCCAGAAGTGTTCCGGTTCGTCGTACAGACAATAGGATCTCCACTGATAGACCTGTTTGCACCAAAGTTCAACAAACAACTACCAACATTCGTCTCACCGATTCCGGATCCTCAGGCATGGGCAACAGATGCTTTAAGCATCTCATGGGAAGGACTAAACGCACTAAGTAATACAGAAAATCAAGCAGACGACAACGTTACAACTGATTTTGGTCGCGCCCTATTGGCCAGTGAGGGTATGGTTTCCCGTCCTCATACAAGAACTCGGAAGTCCAACACTGAAACTACCAGAGTGGTCGAACCTGAGTGGAGTGTATCAAAGCTTGCCTGAAGACAAGAGGGTACTCTGCCGGAGCAGCGAAAGTAGTAACACTAGCTTTACGCAGATCAACTCACAACTTGTACGACGACAAGTGGCAGAGATTTGAACAGTATGCAACGAGGAAAGGCTTTACGGCGGTGAAAGCAACCCCTCCTCAAGTGGCAGAGTACTTGTGTCATTTGCGACAGACGAGACACTTAAAAGGTTCAACACTCTCAACGTACCTGGCTGCTCTCAGCACAGTTATCACCATGAAGACGGGTGTCAAGTTGACCAAAGTAACAGGGATAACGGCACTACTACGGTCGTTCAAGTTGGAAGACCAACAAAAGAAATTCAAGGCTCCTGCCTGGGATCTCAACGTAGTTCTACAACATCTCACCAGTGATGCCTACGAGCCTCTAGAATGGATATCCTTTGAATTACTGACTCAGAAAAAGTTGTTTCTGATCGCCCTAGCAACAGCAGCACGGATGTCAGAAATACATGCTCTGGACTTTGAACGAACACAATTTGAAGCAAGACATCGTGATGGGACTTTATTGCCAAGAACTAACTGCCCGGCCAGTCTGACAGACAGTTCCACATCCCAGCACTTTCTACAGTCTTTGGGCCACGGGATACACAGGATTTATCCTTATGCCCTGTCAAAGGACAAAAGGGGGCGGTGGGGTAGCCTAGTGGTTAAAGCGTTGGCTCGTCACGCCGAAGACCCGGGTTCGATTCCCCACATGGGCACAATGTGTTAAGCCCATTTCTGGTGTCCCCCGCCGTGATATTGCTGGAATATTGCTAAAAGCGGCGTAAAACCAAACTCAGTCAGTCAGTCAGTCAAAGGACAAAAATAAATTCAAGTGCCTGTTCATCCCCTTATCCACTGAGATGACCACGGAAGTCTCACGGACAACTATATCAGTTTGGATGAGAGCCGTCATACTAAGGGCCTACAAAGCAGCAGGACTTGAGCCTCCATGAGCCTCCAATCCCCACGAAGTCAGAGCCTTGGCGTTTACACTTGCTCTGCATGGAAACTGCTCGATTACAACAATAATGGAGGGCTGCTTTTGGAAATCGGACACAGTGTTTGCCAACCACTACCTCAGAGACTTTGCACCGAAAACATCTCAGGCATTCACCAGTTTGGGCCACTTGTTGTAGCACAACAACTAACGGTTCCACAAAGGCGCTGAGAAAAATCTCACCCATTTATCACGTGACTTGTGAAAACCAACGCTCTGGAGAGCAATGGCTATAAGTCCATTCACACGTTTAGGACAGACTAGCATGAGTGATTAGACCCTGTACTTGTATAAGTCTTACTTGTACATGAAGAAGGGTCGCATCTCCACTTGATGCACGCATCAAGAGATGGAGTTGCAATAGATAACTCATGGAACATATGTATAACTAAAATCCACACGAAAATGTCAGGAAAAGTTTCAGAAGAAATCTGACAAGTTGCGGTCCCCCTTCCCCCGACTCATCAGATGGAAGTTGGAAGAACAGAATCATCATCAGTGCCGTCATAAGTTCCCATGGGGGGTAATACAGGACGTAAAACAGCAGCCAGTGAATCCAGGAACTGGCCTGACCCACCACCGATTCCGACGGATTCCGCAAGCATTTAGCATGAGTCAGGATGAGGAAAAATATGTAATTTTCTGACTAAAATTGATATTTTATACTTATTGACTCATGAGGTGAACCCTCCCAACTTCCCCTCTCAGGGCACTCTGGATTTTCCGGTGTAACAGGCCAAACTGTCCCCCTGGCCAAACCTTCCCCGGGGAAACTTTGGCCTAGGACTAACTTTCCCCTGGGAAAACTTTAGCCTAGGACAAACTTTCCACGGGGAAACTTTAGCCTAGGCCAAACTTTCCCCACCCTTGAATCAACTTTAAAGGCTACTTGTTTCAAACCCTTGTTCTTATATCAAAAGAGGGAGATTCTGGCCAAGCTAGGCTATTTCTTCCCCAACCTTGTTTTCATGTTAATGTTTGTCTTGGAAAATTCAGAAACGAAAGCAAGACATAGCTATTCACGTGAACACATTGCTAAGATATTCATGTTGATGTCAAGTTCCATTAACAATTTACAGATCATATTCATCTTCATTTATAACATGTACTTGGTTCACATTTTGTTTCAATATCTTTATATAAGATATATATTTATATTTCAGTAATTTAAACTAAATACCCAGTTTTTACTTGGATGTCCATATCCATTCAAAACTTTATTCCCTCACTCATGGCTTTAAATATGTCATCCACGTTGGCGACATCAACTTAACAGTTGGAAGCAGACGTAAATGTCAACACAACAACAATAACCCAACACAATATCTATATCAAATGCTGTATCATCTCTCATTCCCCTATATTGCCTTATTCTATATTCTATATTATGGATTAGTAAACAAGCTTATGTGAATAATATTCCATTACATTTATTCATAAATACAACAAATATTAGATAATAAACAGCATGATAAGAGAGCAAGAAACCTGTGTATATTACATCTTAAATTTACCCATCATATTTACCCATCAAATGTTTACCTCTTACGGTGACATGATTTGGACAGATGAAGAACTAATGCAATGTGTCTTCATAGGAATGGCGGCAGGAGCAGGATGGATTTAGAGATCAATGCCATTCAAACATGTATGCATTCAAATTACTACACCCAAGTCAGAGGCAAAAATGGACTATTTGGCCAAAATGTGTACCAAAATATAAGTAAAATATGAGCAAGGGTGGGGAAGAAGTAGCCTAGGTAGGCCAGAATCTCCCCCTATTGATATAACAGCAAGGGTGGGAAAGAAGTAGCCTAGGTAGGCCAGAATCTCCCCATATTGATATAAGAGCAAGGGTGGGGAAGAAGTAGCCTAGGTAGGCCAGAATCTCCCCCTTTTGATATAAGAGCAAGGGTGGGGAAGAAGTAGCCTAGGTAGGCCAGAATCTCCCCCTTTTGATATAAGAACAAGGGTCGGTAAGAAGTAGGTTAGGTAGGCCAGAATCTCCCCCTTCTGATATAAGAGCAAGGGTGGGTGAAGAAGTAGCCTAGGTAGGCCAGAATCTCCAACCTTTTGATATAAGAGCAAGGGTGGGGAAGAAGTAGCCTAGGTAGGCCAGAATCTCCCCCTATTGATATAACAGCAAGGGTGGGAAAGAAGTAGCCTAGGTAGGCCAGAATCTCCCCATATTGATATAAGAGCAAGGGTGGGGAAGAAGTAGCCTAGGTAGGCCAGAATCTCCCCGTTTTGATATAAGAGCAAGGGTGGGGAAGAAGTAGCCTAGGTAGGCCAGAATCTCCCCCTTTTGATATAAGAGCAAGGGTCGGTAAGAAGTAGGTTAGGTAGGCCAGAATCTCCCCCTTCTGATATAAGAGCAAGGGTGGGTGAAGAAGTAGCCTAGGTAGGCCAGAATCTCCAACCTTTTGATATAAGAGCAAGGGTGGGGAAGAAGTAGCCTAGGTAGGCCAGAATCCCCCACTTTTGATAAAAGAGCAAGGGTGGGGAAGAAGTAGCCTAGCTAGGCCAGAATCTCCCCCTTTTGATATAATAAGAGCAAGGGTGGGGAAGAAGTAGCCTAGCTAGGCCAGAATCTCCCCCTTTTGATATAATAAGAGCAAGGGTGGGGAAGAAGTAGCCTAGGTAGGCCAGAATCTCCCTTTTGATATAAGAGCAAGGGTGGGGAAGAAGTAGCCTAGGTAGGCCAGAATCTCCCTCCTTTTGATAAAAGAGCAAGGGTGGGGAAGAAGTAGCCTAGCTAGGCCAGAATCTCCCCCTTTTGATATAATAAGAGCAAGGGTGGGGAAGAAGTAGCCTAGGTAGGCCAGAATCTCCCCATTTTGACCAAAAAGGGCGCCAAAGGAGGCAAGGGAGACTACTCGTGGGTGAGTGATGATTTTACGTGTGCTTTCTAGAAGGGAACTTCAAGGGATTTCAAGTGTTCCACTATCATTTGCAAGAAGAAGGAGACAAGCATTTAGCATTAGTCAGGATAAGTATAAAATATCAATTTTAGTCAGAAAATGACCATTTATTGCATATATATGTACACAAATAAATATAACAGTTCTATGTTAATTTGTTTTAAATGATCATTTCAGGATGTTTTGCTTGTGGGATGGAAACAGGGTTTCGAGTGTACAATGCAGATCCCCTGAAGGAGAAAGAGAGGCAAGGTAGATGCTCAGTTTTGTCATATAATCTTTTTGATGAGGATTGATGCTCATGGTATATAGACTGCTGATTTATATATATATATACTGTTTGATCATGTTATCTGCAGATGTTCTTTGAGATTCTTTTGTCTTTAGACCGCCTCCGTGGTGTAGTGGTTAGAGCGTCCGCCCGGAGAGAGGAAGGTCGCGGGTTCGATCCCCGACCGCGTCATACCAAAAGACGTTAAGATATGGTACTTGTTGGTCCCTGCCTGGCTCTCGGCATTAATGGGTACAACAAGGACTGGTCGGCTCGGAGTCAGTATTATGAGTCTGAGTGGGGTATTCATGCTTCACTGCGGCATGGTATCTCAGTGGGCTAGCACTATAAAACCAGCTTCAGTCTGGGCAAGTACAAGCAGCCGCACATACACATACACACGCATGCACGTCGTCATATAAGCGAAATATTCTCAAGCACGACGTAAAACCCAATTTCACCTGACCTCTTTTGTCTTTAGATTTTGCTGATGGAGGTGTTGCTCTGATAGAGATGTTGTTCCGCTGTAATTATCTTGCTCTTGTCGGTGGAGGAAAAAATCCAAAGTATCCACCAAATAAAGGTATGCACAAGAAGTTATCAAATCAGTCTTATTTTTGTACATGCACAAGTTTGTATTAACTTATCATCTGTGAAATATATCCTTAACAGTTTCATTGTTCAAATATTTTGAAGTGTTTGATCATAGAAGTTAACAACTTTGGTGAGCGTCATAAAATCTATTCTTTGTCAAGTTGTTGGGGTCGAGGGGTGTGGGGTGTGTGTGTGGCCCTTAAGTGTTAGATCATAACAACTTTGGTTGGGGCATATGTCATCTTTTCAAAACAATTCAGTTTTATTTCCAACCCATTGAATAGTTGTTGCACTCAGACACATTCACCAGTTCGGTCACGTACCGATCCGTCAAATTTCTGATTTCAGACTAGTAAAATGAATTCGACGGATCGGCACTGTGATCTTAGCTATGAATTAGTTATAAAATATTGGATCCTACCAAAGAAAAGACGCAAGGGGTGTTGGATGGTTTGACTCTATATTTTTGTACCTTTGTAGAGTATATATCTTTGCCTACTCATATGATACAATGAGAAATTGATGCATTAAATATATGTTTGGACTCTATATTTTTTTACTTTTGTACAAAAATTGAAATTGATGCATTAAATAAAATGCATTCATAAGGAGAAATATATAGTTCGTGATGTTCAAACTTCTCGTGTAGTAATTTAGACTTGGTGCATAAACCTGGGAGTATAATAATGTAAGGTATACAAAGTCACACGGTCAGGATTAAACTTTGGTCTCTCTAATCTCAAATATCTTTGTTATAAAAATTGCTTAACACAAGGTAAGTTTTTCATTTTGGTTGGCTAGTGGTCCTACAAACTTAACAAGAAAAATTGGTGCTTTGTACATAATATTCTGGTAGATACTTTTGTCTGCTCTCCTCATACCTAGGACATACAAGGAGGACATGAAATTCGTCTTATTCTGTGTTTCTACAGAACGGGCAGACCGATGCATCAGGGTCAGGGTTTTTAGCCCGCCGTAAATTTTGTATACAGAAATTATGAGCACTACATCTGAACTTTGAAAGTGCTCTACGGAGCTTACCTATTTTCTGTACAAGATACGTCTATTCAAAGTCATAACTAAATAGTAATTGCCTAACATATGATATTCAGTTCAATGTCAGCAATCAGAAAGTCTTCACCGGAATCTGTTCTTGTTCATTGAAAAAAACATGTATAGTCTAGTCTAATCTAATACAAGCCGACCCTTTAATTAATGAACTTAGACTCTCCCAGTGTGTTAACACAGTCTGAAATTCGACCGATTAGCACAGAACCACTCAAGCATGATTCAACGGATCGGCACTGTTGGCTGTTCAAAATTCGACGGATTAGGCTATAACCACCAGTTCTCTTGTTTTCCTAATTAACATGGCTAATTGACTTGCTCTGTAAACATTACAGATGTAAACAGATGTTTGTTGACAACTTTTGTCAGAGTAAAAGTTCCAGGTGGGAATCATCTCATCAGAAAGCAATTGTAGTATTTAGAAAAGAGTCCAATATGCAGTGCTGGATGCTGATGCAATCAATATTTCAGTATTGATGTATTTAACCAAGATTTAAAGGTGGCTGTACATAATATACATGATATAGAGTGAGTGACAGAGTGCTCACTTTCCAATTTAGTCCACTGTAGTGTGTCCTCACAACTAGAATGTGGAAACTGTACATATTGCTGAAGTTGTGCTTGACCAGTCCATGTTGTTTGTCCAGTGATGGTGTGGGATGACTTGAAGAAGAAACATGTCATTGAGCTGGAGTTCTCCACTGATGTCCGAGGTGTCAAGTTACGCAGAGATAGGTCAGTCATACTTTGTTGTTACATTACAGTAATGCAGTTTAAAGCCACTCATGTCTTATCATGCAGGAGTGAAGACCACCCAATACTAGTTGTAGGATATGGCCGAACTTGAACTTGTTATGAAACCTTCATTGAGCGCTGCAGCTCAACATATCTTGAGTCAGTGTGGCAGATGTTCATATGATAATCTGTATGTATGTTTTGATGCTGATGGTCAATGGTGTTGTCAACTTATGATTGATATGTTCCATGTTACCATGGTTACAGGATTGTGGCAGTGCTGGACACAATGATCAAAGTGTACACATTCACCCAGAATCCCCAGCAGCTTCATGTTTTTGAGACAGGACATAACCCTAAAGGTGAGTCAACATATCTTACAGCAGCTCTAACCATACCTTTGCTCTTTTAAGATGGAGTTCAGTTAGTTAGTGACTGTCTTAGAATGATTCCGTTGTGTTCTTGTATTGGCAGCAATCTGATCTGTCTGTTTCTTCATTCCAGGTCTGTGTGTGATGTGCCCCAACAGCAATAACTCTCTACTGTCCTTTCCCGGGAGAAAAGTTGGCCATGTGCAAATAATTGATCTTGCAGAGACTGAGAAGTCTCCAGTGGATATAGCTGCCCATGAGGCTAACCTTGGCTGTATGTCCATGAATACTCAGGGTACCCGACTTGCCACAGCCTCTGAGAAGGTAGGCTCCTGTCTGTGTTGTGTTGGAACTTGTGTACAGAACTGACAGGCTGACAGATATCATCAGTAATATCACAAACTATTATAATTTATAACTTAGATCATGCATCTCATTTTTAGGGAACTTTAATACGAGTGTTCGACACAAGTACTGGAGCTAGACTGCATGAGCTGCGACGTGGAACAAATAGCGCTAATATCTACTGGTAAGTGTTTTATGGCTGACTGTAATTGTATCTTGCCTACTACATCAGTGTAATGTAACAAATCTACTACATCAGTGTAATGTAACCAGCCTACTACATCAGTGTAATGTAACCAGCCTACTACATCAGTGTAATTAACTAGCCTACTACATCAGTGTAATGTAACCAGCCTACTACATCAGCGTAATGTAACCAGCCTACTACATCAGTGTAATGTAACAAACCTACTACATCAGTGTAATGTAACCAGCCTACTACATCAGTGTAATGTAACCAGCCTACTACATCAGTGTAATGTAACCAGCCTACTACATCAGTGTAATGTAACAAACCTACTACATCAGTGTAATGTAACCAGCCTACTACATCAGTGTAATGTAACAAACCTACTACATCAGTGTAATGTAACCAGCCTACTACATCAGTGTAATGTAACCAGCCTACTACATCAGTGTAATGTAACCAGCCTACTACATCAGTGTAATACTACATCAGTAACAAACCTACTACATCAGTGTAATGTAACCAGCCTACTACATCAGTGTAATGTAACCCAGCCTACTACATCAGTGTAATGTAACCAACCTACTACATCAGTGTAATGTAACCAGCCTACTACATCAGTGTAATGTAACCAGCCTACTACATCAGTGTAATGTAACCAGCCTACTACATCAGTGTAATGTAACCAGCCTACTACATCAGTGTAATGTAACCAGCCTACTACATCAGTGTAATGTAACCAACCTACTACATCAGTGTAATGTAACAAACCTACTACATCAGTGTAATGTAACAAACCTACTACATCAGTGTAATGTAACAAACCTACTACATCAGTGTAATGTAACAAACCTACTACATCAGTGTAATGTAACAAGCCTACTACATCAGTGTAATGTAACTACATCAGTGTAATGTAACCAGCCTACTACATCAGTGTAATGTAACAAACCTACTACATCAGTGTAATGTAACCAAACCTTACTACATCAGTGTAATGTAACAAACCTACTACATCAGTGTAATGTAACCAGCCTACTACATCAGTGTAATGTAACCAGCCTACTACATCAGTGTAATGTAACCAGCCTACTACATCAGTGTAATGTAACCAACCTACTACATCAGTGTAATGTAACCAGCCTACTACATCAGTGTAATGTAACAAACCTACTACATCAGTGTAATGTAACCAGCCTACTACATCAGTGTAATGTAACCAGCCTACTACATCAGTGTAATGTAACCAACCTACTACATCAGTGTAATGTAACCAGCCTACTACATCAGTGTAATGTAACCAGCCTACTACATCAGTGTAATGTAACCAGCCTACTACATCAGTGTAATGTAACAAACCTACTACATCAGTGTAATGTAACCAAACCTACTACATCAGTGTAATGTAACAAACCTACTACATCAGTGTAATGTAACAAACCTACTACATCAGTGTAATGTAACAAACCTACTACATCAGTGTAATGTAACCAACCTACTACATCAGTGTAATGTAACCAGCCTACTACATCAGTGTAATGTAACCAGCCTACTACATCAGTGTAATGTAACAAACCTACTACATCAGTGTAATGTAACCAGCCTACTACATCAGTGTAATGTAACAAACCTACTACATCAGTGTAATGTAACAAACCTACTACATCAGTGTAATGTAACCAGCCTACTACATCAGTGTAATGTAACAAACCTACTACATCAGTGTAATGTAACTACATCAGCCTACTACATCAGTGTAATGTAACAAACCTACTACATCAGTGTAATGTAACCAGCCTACTACATCAGTGTGTAATGCCTACTACATCAGTGTAATGTAACCCTAAACCTACTACATCAGTGTAATGTAACAAACCTACTACATCAGTGTAATGTAACAAACCTACTACATCAGTGTAATGTAACCAGCCTACTACATCAGTGTAATGTAACCAACTACATCCTACTACATCAGTGTAATGTAACAAACCTTACTACAGTGTAATGTAACCAGCCTACTACATCAGTGTAATGTAACAAGCCTACTACATCAGTGTAATGTAACAAACCTAACCTACTACACATCAGTGTAATGTAACCAACCTACTACATCAGTGTAATGTAACAAACCTACTACATCAGTGTAATGTAACCAGCCTACTACATCAGTGTAATGTAACATCAAATGTAACCTACTACATCAGTGTAATGTAACCAGCCTACTACATCAGTGTAATGTAACATCAGCCTACTACATCAGTGTAATGTAACAAGCCTACTACATCAGTGTAATGTAACCAGCCTACTACATCAGTGTAATGTAACCAGCCTACTACATCAGTGTAATGTAACCAGCCTACTACATCAGTGTAATGTAACCAGCCTACTACATCAGTGTAATGTAACCAGCCTACTACATCCTACTACATCAGTGTAATGTAACAAACCTACTACATCAGTGTAATGTAACCAGCCTACTACATCAGTGTAATGTAACAAACCTACTACATCAGTGTAATGTAACCAGCCTACTACATCAGTGTAATGTAACAAACCTACTACATCAGTGTAATGTAACCAGCCTACTACATCAGTGTAATGTAACCAGCCTACATCAGTGTAATGTAACAAGCCTACTACATCAGTGTAATGTAACCAGCCTACTACATCAGTGTAATGTAACCTACTACATCAGTGTAATGTAACCAGCCTACTACATCAGTGTAATGTAACAAACCTACTACATCAGTGTAATAAACCTACTACATCAGTGTAATGTAACCTACTACATCAGTGTAATGTAACCAGCCTACTACATCAGTGTAATGTAACAAGCCTACTACATCAGTGTAATGTAACAAACCTACTACATCAGTGTAATGTAACCAGCCTACTACATCAGTGTAATGTAACCAGCCTACTACATCAGTGTAATGTAACCAGCCTACTACATCAGTGTAATGTAACCAGCCTACTACATCAGTGTAATGTAACCAGCCTACTACATCAGTGTAATGTAACCAGCCTACTACATCAGTGTAATGTAACAAACCTACTACATCAGTGTAATGTAACCAGCCTACTACATCAGTGTAATGTAACCAGCCTACTACATCAGTGTAATGTAACCAGCCTACTACCTACTACATCAGTGTAATGTAACCCTAACCTACTACATCAGTGTAATGTAATGTAATGTAACCAGCCTACTACATCAGTGTAATGTAACCAGCCTACTACATCAGTGTAATGTAACCAGCCTACTACATCAGTGTAATGTAACCAACCTACATCAGTGTAATGTAACTACTACATCAGTGTAATGTAACCAACCTACTACATCAGTGTAATGTAACAAACCTACTACATCAGTGTAATGTAACCAGCCTACTACATCAGTGTAATGTAACCAGCCTACTACATCAGTGTAATGTAAGGAGCCTTCTTCATCACTGTAATGTAACCAGCCTGCTACACCAGTGCAGTTTATGCAGCTTTCTTCATCAGTGTAATGTAAGGAGCCTACTACATCAGTGTAATGTAACCAGCCTACTACATCAGTGTAATGTAACCAGCCTACTACATCAGTGTAATATAACAAACCTACTACATCAGTGTAATGTAAGCAGCCTACTACATCAGTGTAATGTAACTAGCCTACTACATCAGTGTAATGTAACCAGCCTACTACATCAGTGTAATGTAACCAACCTACTACATCAGTGTAATGTAACAAACCTACTACATCAGTGTAATGTAACCAGCCTACTACATCAGTGTAATGTAACAAACCTACTACATCAGTGTAATGTAACCAGCCTACTACATCAGTGTAATGTAAGGAGCCTTCTTCATCACTGTAATGTAACCAGCCTGCTACACCAGTGCAGTTTATGCAGCTTTCTTCATCAGTGTAATGTAAGGAGCCTTCTTCATCACTGTAATGTAACCAGCCTGCTACACCAGTGCAGTTTAAGCAGCTTTCTTCATCAGTGTAATGTAAGGAGCCTTCTTCATCACTGTAATGTAACCAGCCTGCTACACCAGTGCAGTTTAAGCAGCTTCCTTCATCAGTGTAATGTAAGGAGCCTTCTTCATCACTGTAATGTAACCAGCCTGCTACACCAGTGCAGTTTAAGCAGCTTTCTTCATCACTGTAATGTAATGGACCTACAACATCACTGTCATGATAGCTGCCCTACTACATCACTGTAATTGTAGCTTACCTACTAAAGCTAGGTTACTATTATTCACAAGTGTAGGTAGATATGTTGTAACATCTTTGTTTGTTGCAGCATCAACTTCAATGCTGACTCTTCCCTCCTGTGTGTCTCCAGTGATCACGGAACTGTTCACATCTTCTCAACTGAAGATCCAAGGAAAAACAAACAATCTAGGTGCAGGGCCTTTCTCTACATAGTCTTGAGCTGTCATGTCACCCTCTGTATGCCTCCTCACAAGTGTGTTGGGAAGAACATTTGTATACACCATTCACTGACACATTTTGGCTTTCAGAATACAACATGAGTAATATATATTCTTCCTTATCCTGATACAATATGCTGAAATTTCTTCTATCTTGATAAATATCTAAAAAACAAAATACAAAATGTGCCTCTCCACCAAGGAACATTCTTCGTCCAACTTATATCTTTTAGCTCCCAAGTCAATATTGGCACATTTTGATTGCATTTGTGACTAACATTTCAGTGGAAGGTGACTGTATACAATAATGCTTCTACCTTGTGTTTTTAGTTAGACTGTTCACGTTATACTAGTGTGCTTTTGACTGAGTGATAGTCAAGTGTGGTGATCTGAGTCAATCATCATGTGTTTGTCACATCTCAACTTGTGTTATTTAATGTGTTTATTTTTATTGTTGATAATACAGTGGAAACCTGATAAGTAAAACTTCAAGGGACTCGCCAAAATTGTTCACTTATCAGGTATTTTACGTATCCAAACTTATCAAAACCTGCAAATGACAACCATATGCATGTATATGTATACAGCAGAATAACAGACAACATTTGTAAGTAATATGGCCTCCAGTTGTCAGTGTATTGTCAACTGCATGACGCCAGCGAGCTTTAAAGGAGAATACGAACGAAAACAAAACTTTTGATATATTGTAATGGATATTCTAAAAGTCACATTCTGTGATTAAAATTGAACAAAAAGTTTGTAAAATAGCAATAAAAACACACAGACGTACTCGTATTTCCGCCTATTACGGAAACGCCCGACAGTTAATGAGCAGCGGGGGTATCACGTGACATGACGTCATAAGTGCCTGTTGCTGATGGCTTTCTCTTTGATTTTACCTCACAACTGAACAGTGTCTGTGGATTCTGAAACAGTAAAAGCTGTTCCTGGTGTCATTTCTGAAATGGATGTTAGACCGTATCAATACGATCCGATTTTACATCTTGCAAGACAATCTTCCACCGAAGATGAAGAAGAAGAATCAAGCGAAACGGAGGCACCGCTTGAAGTCAAAATAAATTTATAAATAGACCATATCATTTAACAAGATTACTATTTGTCAGCAAAATGTCATACAGTTCTAGGCAGCAAACTCACCCCTATAAATATATGACCGTCACTAAGAATTATTTAAAAAAAAATGTTATTACAGTTCATTTTGTGTCAACTGGGTGTCTGTAGGGTGTCTGGGATTTAAAAACAATATCATTATGCTTCAGACGAGGGAAAATAAAAATTATCTGCTTCAAAAATTACACTGGAATTATTTTGTTGAAAAAAAATTAGGATCCTAGTTCTCATTAATAACGTATCAAGTCTCGATACAAGATCCCAGCCTGGTCGAGCAGAGATAATATTTCGCGTATTGAAGATAAGTTATTCCCTGAAAACTGGTGAATTATAAAATACTAGTCAGGACAACGTATGTTTCCCTATTGTTATGGAAATAGTTATGGTACTCGGTCATAGCCTTAGAATGACATCTTGTCAGCCAATGAGAATACAGAACAACTTTCACGGCACACACTACTGACAAAAATAGCGAGTCTGATGCTGACGTGCGTAATTGGACAAAATGGAAAAAGATGAAAGCAACAAGTACTTCATGATTTGCCGTTGTATTCGGCAATGTTTCGAGTTGACTGCATCATTTAAGGCTCCAAACCGAAAAGAACGTTATAGCGAAACATTTTCAAGCTCATGTGAAATCACTTACTGATTTTGATAATATATATCTCATGTGTACCAGTCGAACTGCCCCAGCTACAAAATGCCCCAGCAAATTTTGTCATTCATTCTAATTTGTTCAAATTTATTTATAATGATTGAATATATGCCGTAAATGCATAGTTTTTGTCAACTTATTATGATATTATGTTCTTCATATAAAAGTTATTAGGAAGTAATATTTCTGATAAATGTTTCATTAGTAAACTCATAACTATGTATATACTTTTATATGAAGAACATAATATCAAAGTTGACAAAACTATGCATTTATGGCCTATATTTATTGATTTTAAATAAATTGGGGCATTTTGACTACCCCACTGGGGCAATTTGACCAAATTTGCTGGGTCATTTTGTAGCGGGGGCAATTCGACTGGCAACCGGACTTGATTTAATTTATGTTAAAAAAACCACTGACAGTAAGTTGTTACAGGGAATGATGGAGTATAAATGAATCTCGTGGATACTTTTTCCTTCTTCAGCCTAGCTTGGGGATTTCCATACCCCATGCGTGCATGTCTCTTTCATATGCGTCCGACTCGGAATTATCGGCGCATTTCTCCTGCCGAAATCTGTCATTTCACTTGGAAAACGGAAGAAATTGTGGTTCTTTCCCATGTTCGATGATGCCGTGCATCTCCAGGCAATGCAATACACCATCGTACCATTTAAAAGAACGACAGAAACAACACGATTTGTACTACTGTAGCGCTTGGTCTTTGGCAGTATGGCGGACTCCAGGCACATTTGGCGTCACGAGCGGAAAAGGTCACGTGGGTTTATCTTTCACCCAGCAAATTATTGCAATTCACTCGTATTCTCCTTTAAGTAGGATGTTTGTTTAGCTGGAGACTGACACGTGCCCCTCATGTCGGATCATGTGGTGATCGCTAATTTAGTTATCCGGTCCTTTTTGTTAAGTAATTTACTTCCAGGGACCGTGAGAAGACGTTTAGTTAAGCGGTATTGTTTACTTAACCGAGTTTAGTTAACCAGACTCTAATAGTGATAATTAATGAAGAAATTTGAATAGTGTTTACTTATCCGGTCTGTTTAGTTAAGCGGTCATTAGTTAGGCGGTTTCCACTGTACATGCATATATATGTGACATTTTGTGTGGTATGCCATCATAACAAGGACATGCGTGCCCACACTGTTGATGGTGGTGTTATTCCCTGACTGTGAGATGTTGGAAGTCCCTATCCAATAATGTGAACTTTATGTTGAAGGAATCAGAAAGAGTATGCGACCACTTGTACTGTATATACTCTACCTCTATGATTACAACCACTGTGATTACTAAATGGGTGAGTTGTTTTAACCAGTCTTTGACTGCAGTTGCATTACTGCAGAGCGCTTCAGCACCTGAAGAGATTCCACCCCTTTAAGCTCCTCATCATCTTCTCTGAGGTCTAACTTCTACTCAACATCATATTAGCCTTTGGGAGTGCATCTTCATAAACACCTTCATCCTCACCTTAATGGACACAGCTGCAACTAGTGATGATGACTCATGCCTGGAGATACTGAAGCACTTTCTTGGACACAGCAGCATATAGTGATGATGACGCATGCCTGGAGATACTGAAGCACCTTCTTGGGCACAGCTGCATCTAGTGATGATGACTCTTGCCTGGAGATACTGAAGCACCTTCTTGGGCACAGCTGCATCTAGTGATGATGACGCATGCCTGGAGATACTGAAGCACCTTCTTGGGCACAGCTGCATCTAGTGATGATGACTCATTCCTGGAGATACTGAAGCACCTTCTTGGGCATAGCTGCATCTAGTTATGATGACTCATGCCTGGAGATACTGAAGCACCTTCTTGGGCACAGCTGCATCTAGTGATGATGACGCATGCCTGGAGATACTGAAGCACCTTCTTGGACACAGCTGCATATAGTGATGATGACTCATGCCTGGAGATACTGAAGCACTTTCTTGGACACAGCTGCATATAGTGATGATGACTCATGCCTGGAGATACTGAAGCACTTTCTTGGACACAGCTGCATATAGTGATGATGACTCATGCCTGGAGATACTGAAGCACCTTCTTGGACACATCTGCAACTAGTTATGATGACTCATGCCTGGAGATACTGAAGCACCTTCTTGGACACATCTGCAACTAGTTATGATGACTCATGCCTGGAGATACTGAAGCACCTTCTTGGACACATCTGCAACTAGTTATGATGACTCATGCCTGGAGATACTGAAGCACCTTCTTGGACACATCTGCATATAGTGATGATGACTCATGCCTGGAGATACTGAAGCACCTTCTTGGACACATCTGCATATAGTGATGATGACTCATGCCTGGAGATACTGAAGCACTTTCTTGGACACAGCTGCATATAGTGATGATGACTCATGCCTGGAGATACTGAAGCACCTTCTTGAACACATCTGCAACTAGTTATGATGACTCATGCCTGGAGATACTGAAGCACCTTCTTGGACACATCTGCATATAGTGATGATGACTCATGCCTGGAGATACTGAAGCACCTTCTTGGACACAGCAGCATATAGTGATGATGACTCATGCCTGGAGATACTGAAGCACCTTCTTGGACACAGCAGCATATAGTGATGATGACTCATGCCTGGAGATACTGAAGCACTTTCTTGGGCACAGCTGCATATAGTGATGATGACTCATGCCTGGAGATACTGAAGCACTTTCTTGGACACAGCTGCATATAGTGATGATGACTCATGCCTGGAGATACTGAAGCACCTTCTTGGACACAGCTGCATATAGTGATGATGACTCATGCCTGGAGATACTGAAGCACCTTCTGAAGCACCTTCTTGGGCACAGCTGCATATAGTGATGATGACTCATGCCTGGAGATACTGAAGCACCTTCTTGGACACAGCTGCATATAGTGATGATGACTCATGCCTGGAGATACTGAAGCACCTTCTTGGGCACAGCTGCATATAGTGATGATGACTCATGCCTGGAGATACATGCCTGGAGATGACTGAAGCACCTTCTTGGACACACAGCTGCATATAGTGATGATGACTCATGCCTGGAGATACTGAAGCACCTTCTTGGGCACAGCAGCATATAGTGATGATGACTCATGCCTGGAGATACTGCAAGCACACCTTCTTGGGCACAGCTGCATATAGGATGATGACTCTTGCCTGGAGATACTGAAGCACCTTCTTGGGCACAGCTGCATCTAGTGATGATGACTCATGCCTGGAGATACTGAAGCACCTTCTTGGACACAGCAGCATATAGTGATGATGACTCATGCCTGGAGATACTGAAGCACCTTCTTGGACACAGCTGCATATAGTGATGATGACTCTTGCCTGGAGATACTGAAGCACCTTCTTGGGCACAGCTGCATCTAGTGATGATGACTCTTGCCTGGAGATACTGAAGCACCTTCTTGGGCACAGCAGCATATAGTGATGATGACTCATGCCTGGAGATACTGAAGCACCTTCTTGGACACAGCTGCATATAGTGATGATGACTCTTGCCTGGAGATGACTGATTCTTGGGCACAGCTGCATCTAGTGATGATGACTCTTGCCTGGAGATACTGAAGCACCTTCTTGGGCACAGCAGCATATAGTGATGATGACTCATGCCTGGAGATACTGAAGCACCTTCTTGGACACAGCTGCATATAGTGATGATGACTCTTGCCTGGAGATACTGAAGCACCTTCTTGGGCACAGCTGCATCTAGTGATGATGACTCATGCCTGGAGATACTGAAGCACCTTCTTGGACACATCTGCAACTAGTGATGATGACTCATGCCTGGAGATACTGAAGCACCTTCTTGGACACATCTGCAACTAGTTATGATGACTCATGCCTGGAGATACTGAAGCACCTTCTTGGGCACAGCTGCATCTAGTGATGATGACTCATGCCTGGAGATACTGAAGCACCTTCTTGGACACATCTGCATATAGTGATGATGACTCATGCCTGGAGATACTGAAGCACCTTCTTGGACACAGCTGCATCTAGTGATGATGACTCATGCCTGGAGATACTGAAGCACCTTCTTGGGCACAGCTGCATCTAGTGATGATGACTCTTGCCTGGAGATACTGAAGCACCTTCTTGGACACAGCAGCATATAGTGATGATGACTCATGCCTGGAGATACTGAAGCACCTTCTTGGACACAGCTGCATATAGTGATGATGACTCTTGCCTGGAGATACTGAAGCACCTTCTTGGACACAGCTGCATATAGTGATGATGACTCATGCCTGGAGATACTGAAGCACCTTCTTGGGCACAGCTGCATCTAGTGATGATGACGCATGCCTGGAGATACTGAAGCACCTTCTTGGACACATCTGCAACTAGTGATGATGACTCATGCCTGGAGATACTGAAGCACTTTCTTGGACACAGCTGCATATAGTGATGATGACTCATGCCTGGAGATACTGAAGCACTTTCTTGGACACAGCTGCATATAGTGATGATGACTCATGCCTGGAGATACTGAAGCACCTTCTTGGACACAGCTGCATATAGTGATGATGACTCATGCCTGGAGATACTGAAGCACCTTCTTGGGCACAGCTGCATCTAGTGATGATGACGCATGCCTGGAGATACTGAAGCACCTTCTTGGACACATCTGCAACTAGTGATGATGACTCATGCCTGGAGATACTGAAGCACTTTCTTGGACACAGCAGCATATAGTGATGATGACGCATGCCTGGAGATACTGAAGCACCTTCTTGGACACAGCTGCATATAGTGATGATGACTCATGCCTGGAGATACTGAAGCACCTTCTTGGACACAGCTGCATATAGTGATGATGACTCATGCCTGGAGATACTGAAGCACCTTCTTGGACACAGCAGCATATAGTGATGATGACTCATGCCTGGAGATACTGAAGCACCTTCTTGGACACATCTGCAACTAGTTATGATGACTCATGCCTGGAGATACTGAAGCACCTTCTTGGACACAGCTGCAACTAGTCATGATGACTTGTACCTGGTTGTCCATTGACCCTATCCAACACATATACACATGTTTGTCACTCTTCACTCGAAATGCATCCATCTTGGCAGAATTACTTCAACAAACTTGGACATCACCTACTCTGTTCTGTGAGAAGATAAGCGTCTTATCTCTAATGCACAGAAGAAAGTGACCATGAAGGTGCTGCAACGGTTGACTCTATATAAATACAAAACCTTTCAGCATTATCCAAGAAGCCACTCCTTGTGTGTCTCTAGTTGAGGAGGTCGGACAGAAGCATGCTGTGCCCCTTTAAGCCTACCAATTCTGCACCGTTTAATAGCAGTGATTTGGCACCAGCACTGGACAAAGGGTTTCTGAAAGTGCTGATTGTTGTTCCACTAATTTTGACTCAAAGTTGGTCACTGTCAGATTTTGAATTGAATCTTGAACAGCATCATAATAGTCGTTTTTGTGTTAATTTTTGGTAAGCTTCAGAACCTGGTTGCTCTTCTTTCTATTCCCATCCTTCTGTCAGTCCCTCCATCCTTTATTCTTTATATCCTTCTATCCTTCTGTCAGTCCTTCTGTAAATCTGTCTGATTCTCAATGAGGAAACATTTTCTAAAAAGATATTTAAGCTAAAAAATGAAATTTTATACAAAATCTTTTAAAAAATGGTGTTATAACTTCACTTATATAATAACATATGTAAGGTCCTTGCTCCATGCATATGAACTTAGTGCATACTGCTTGAATGGGGACAAATTTCTCAGGAACGGCTAAAGTTGTATGAATGTTACAAGCTTATTGACGAGATACCTGTCAAGTGTTGCATATTAGTGCCACAAATAAGGTTTCCAGGGTAAAGTCCATTGCCATTTTAGATTTGTTCTTCTCATCTTCAAAGATAAGAGTTACTTTTGAAGATTGACCTTTAGCATTGGTGCAGTAAATAATTTTTTTCCAGTGTTACGACCCTACATCTGGTTTTATCTAGTGCACAGTAGATGCAATGGAGACAAGTTTTTGTGAGAAACTACTGAAGTTGCATGCATGACATTTTGCATGCTTATCTAAGCGATACATGGCTAGACGGAGTTTATATAAATTTATTTGTTTTTTTTCCCCAGAGCTACCCTCCCTTTCTCATTATGCTTTAGACTGTTTGCAGTCTATGTTTTTGAATGTTCAAATGGCAAGGTAAAATTATGAGGATACGCAATCTTAATTTCTCTTTGTTTGATTTACTTTTTGTTTAAAGTGAAGTTCATCGGTACATTTTCACTGCAAACAGACTATAGTTGGAACCAACTGATTTTAATGAGATTGTGCTTTTTGGAAATCACCACCAAGGTAAACCTCAAATCCTTTTATGAAAGGGAACATATGTTCTAATGTGCCCAGGGGAAGGAAATCGCTTAAACCTGTTTTTGTTTTTATTAATTTGATGAAGTCATTTTATTTCGTCAACTGTTTACATAAATGTGTCTTGTCTTTCATACAGTCTGGCAACTGCAAGCTTCCTTCCCAAATACTTCAGTTCCAACTGGAGTTTCTCCAAGTTCCAGGTTCCTGGTGGTGCACATTGTATCTGTGCCTTTGGGGCGGAACCGAATGCTGTGATAGGTAAGTTAGTTATTTGCTTTATTTAGCGTCGCATGCACAACTAAGCTATATCAGCGACGGGGTAGTACACTTATTAAAGAACAAATAAACTTTGTTTTTTTTGTACTCTTTTAACCATTACATATGAAAGATTTGTCGTTAGTCTTATGCGGAACACCAAATTCATTCTTAAAAAAATTGTGGTTAATTAATACCGAGCGATTAAAAGTCGCCTGCTTCACTCTTCACACACAGACAGGTTGCGTAACTCTGTCGCTAGAGCACTGCAGTGACGTCATGTGAGGAAAGATTTTCAATTAGTTGTAAATAAAGTGTGTAGCAAGCTCGTCATTTTGATGATTTCTCGACATCAACGAAGACATGCCGAATCGTTGCGTTGTCATCAATTGTTCCTAGGGGTCGGGCGATGGTGTCACCATGCACAGATTTCCACAGGACCCCGCAGTTCGTGCTAAATGGGTTATGTTTGTGAGTGCGAAGCGAGCGTTGTGGAAGCCTGGAACGATATCTTACTTGTGTTCTGATCGCTTCACAGAAGTTACAGAATCAAAACTACTTACTAGTTGTAGTTAAATATGTATATGATTAATGATCAAAAAGATTTTCCATGACACAACTTGTAACATAACGATTTCTTCCTCGGAAGCGAGATTGTGGTCGTAGTGACAATAATATTGTAAGTAGTATTATATTGACACCCACCTCGCTTCATCGAGAGAAATTGTTATGTTATAAGCTATGTCATGCAAAATTCTATTGGCCATCAATCAAATACATATTTTACTACCAGTAGAAAGTAGTTTTGATTTTGTAACTCGGTGAAAACAAACCTAAATAGCATTTATCCTCAGATGGCGGATGTTCGCAACAGGGCGCCGCCATTTTTGAAAATCGTGAAGTCACGGGCTAACGTCTGTTAGAATTAATGAGATTATGGTATGTTTTCATCAAGTTAGAAAATCAAAACTACTTTCTGCTCGTAGTTAAATATGTATTTGAATCATGACCAAAAGGATTTTGCATGACACAACTTGTAACATATCGATTTCTTCCAGGGAGTGAGTGAGTGAGTGAGTGTGGTTTTACGCCGCTTTTAGCAATATTCCAGCAATATCACGGCGGGGGACACCAGAAATGGGTTTCACATTTTGTACCCATGTGGGGAATCGAACCCGGGTCTTTAGCGTGCCGAGCCAACGCTTTAACCACTAGGCTACCCCACCGCCCCTTCTTCCAGGGAAGCGAGGTGGGGGTGAAAGTGACAATACTGCACGATAAATGTCTTGCTACATTCACGTGGTTTACGTCCACTCACCAGTATGTAGATACTAGTCAATGTACATCTTTATATTTGGTATTATAACCCTAATTAGTTTATTATCATACTTTTATGCATTTTGAAACTTAATAAAAAGCAGGCGATCTGCTGATACTAATAGTGAATTTATAACAGGACTGTAATATCTGGACATTTTATAGTTTGCCAATGTGAATCATAATTCGCACTCACGCCCTAGTGTATGTTGTCTGTCTCATTACACTTCACGGCGAAAACAATGATTCTGTTGAATGCTACGACAAATGAATAAAAACAAATTGCAAATATTCAAATTAAAACAGATTAAAGTTATAGGAACAATGTCAGGCTATTTGCTTGTTCGAGGAATGTATCCATCAATATCCACAAAAACGAGTGATATGCCATTCATCTGCAGATGTTCCGAGTGATATGTCTTTTAACAGTTTAATATACGAAAAAGTGATATATCGTTTCAGGTATTTCACATTGGTCTATAGTCTCATTGGTCACCCAAGATAGCACATCTGGCAACTAATTGCATAATGTCCGCCATTCTTTAAAAAAAAGTAATTTAGTAAGCCAATAATGAGCAATCAATCAATGTATTGGTGGTTAATCCTTTGAAAGAAGGACGTTTTTACACAGACATGACAGATTGTATTCAGTATAGATTAGGTTAATCCTTTGATCGATGTTTATAATGTTGAGTATTTACTCCAGACATAAGAAATGCCAAATGGGAACCTCTGTCGGGTAATCTAAGTGGTGTTACCACTAATTATACCTGTTATAAATTCATTAATTGGCCATCAAGTGAATGATGACAAATAACATGTGTAGGTTTATACCACCTAATATGGGTTACAAGGGAGTATTAATTGCTGTATTGCATGCAAGTTTAATTGCATGTGAAAACTTATGGTCCGACACTGTTTTGAGAATACGAACAGAACTTAATATCATACGTAATAGACGTAATATTTTTACATGACATGATTAAATATCGAGGGACAAAAGCCCACAGCAATGGGATCAATTTGGATCAGTCATTATACCATCCAGTAGTATGCACAATGGTGGAACTGCATCAGGTCCTTCCAAAGGCTTAATTTTTCCAAATTAAGCCTTTGTTAAGTCCCTAATCCCGTTCCGCTATTGTGTATACTACTGGTGGATGTACATACAAAATTTCACGAAAATCGGTGTAACGGTTTGGGAAATATTGCCTTTTGAGCGAGCATGGTGTCTGTCCGTCTAAAGTTTTAAAAATATCCAACGTTAAAATAGGCATATTTGTAACAAATGTTAGCGGTCACAACCCCAACGAGGGAGAAAGAAATGAGATAGATGCGATGCGCAAGGCTTCCTCCCTCGTGGGATTGCATCCAACTGCGTGCTCTCGACGAGAGCTTCCTTGTTCTAGATAACCTTACTTGAAAGTTTCGAGAGTTGCAAGGAAATCATAGAGGCCAGACGGGATACGAACTCACAAATCGCACAGTTGCGCGGCTGCACGACAGCAAGCTGACCCCAGCAGCTAGTGAACTGAGCCACCACGGCTCCTGTTGGTCTCAGTAATTGATTTTCCTAGACTATGTTGAGCTAGCGAGGTGTCAGAGTTGACAGGTCACGGTTCAGAGGCCACAGTTCACAGTGTGTGTGTGTGTGTGTGTGTCTCGGCTCGGCTATTATTCACCATGTACAGTTCTCTGTAGAGCTGGCTGGCTGTTGACTACATTATGTAATGTTAGTTTTGGACCAGATTCCTCAATATTTACGATCCATTGCTCCTACAGGAGTAAAAATATGGTTAGAATGATGGTGTGTCGTCTCTCTCTCTCTCTATCGACAGTGGTACAGCTTGGATCAATAAGTAGCTCTCATTCGCAATCTACAATGAGCGTCCTCCGTGGTGTAATGGTAACAGAGCTGGGTTCACAATCGTGAGGTCCAGCGTTCGAATCACACTATCAGCAGAAAGTTTTGCGACTTAGATGCCCTACTCAGACTGTATAGTCACCACGGCTCTGATGTTAAAATTAAAAGGGGTGTTTGTGAGAGATGAATTTAGGCTTTGAAATTGATGGCTGATAACATGAGAAAATACAACTCTGACATATTGTTGCATTAACTTTGTGTCTATAGCCACATAGCATACCACAACCTAATAGCACACACACAAACAAATAATCATGAGAATTATCATACAGTGGGCGATCGAAAAAGGACTGTGTCGCGAGGTACGATTATCAACTCCTCTGGGACGAATGCTCTCGGCGGTCCGTCTGTCAAGTAGTACAAGTTCGGTTCGCCGTCTTTGATGTCGGCCAGGTCTACGTTGTACGTTTTCATGGACCATATCGGATCGGTGGCGGGTTTTCTGCTGTCTCCCTCGTATTCTCCCGGCTGGTACTAGTACCTAACACTGACCCCGTCCGGTAATTTTTTCTCTGTTTTATTGCGACGTGCCACTGCCGACGACGATTTGACAGATTTCATTTTGATAGCTTTGACGGGTCTCTTGCCCATGAGTCTGGTGCCTTCGTTGTTGATGGCATCCACCACTCGAGGCAAGTGTACGACCCATTCCGTGTTTCTGTTTTGGGGATCCATTAAATCCTGCGAATACTGCTGTGAGAACAGGTGTTCGGCTAAGGTGCGATTGAATCTCTCGACTATGGCTTGGCTTCAGTGAGCACCCGCCACACCTCGTCTCACGTGGACTTTGTGTTTGGCCAGCAGCTGCGAGACGGCTCCAATGAACTCGCGTCCGGGATCGATTTGCAATACGGCAGGCCATGTCAAGCGACTGCGTTTGTAAATTCGTTCGAAGGCTTTGGCGTATTATAATTATTATTATTATATGATTCTTATATAGCGCACATATCCAGGCAACTAGTGCTTGCTCAAGGCGCTGATATTTTTTCCCTCGAACATTGGATGTCTCAATCTCAATGGCACATCGTATTATCATGTCAACTTCGTTCGATTCTTTGGTTGTCAACGGTTCGGCTTCCTTGTAGCGACTGGCGACGTCGACGACTGTCAGGGCGTACTTGTAGGTTTTGCGCTTCACCCTGTCGTGAGGTAGAAACAGGAGGTCGGCTTGGTGGACGCGATTCGGCGTCAAAATGTCGAATTTCGAGCGGCTTTGGCGAGTTTCGGGATGGCGTCGGCACCTTTCCATTACCTGCGCGGGCTGTAATAAATTTTCTCCATTATGTATGTATTGCGTGCGTTTTTACTATTTAATACGTGCGTGTCCGTACGTGTAAGTGGTGACTCCATCGATGGCGATCCATCATTTCTTGTCCATGGGAGACAGCGACGTCTTGTTGATTCTCAGTCCGTATATCCTGTGTCCGTCGCTTCTCAGCATGTTCATCTGGTGTTTGAACGTTTTATTCTTGAACAGGGCTTCCTTGAATCTGGCGTGCTTGACCTGTTTTTGCACCATGTGTTTTTTCACGCCTTTCACCTTTCTGATTTCGTCGTCATCTGTTTTCTTGATGGAATACATCTTGGGTCTCAAGCCGATGTACTCGGCGATCGGCATGCCCGCGCATTCATCCTTCATTTTGCCGAGCACTTTTTTGTTGACGGTGTCGTGCATATGGTGATCTTTAGTGTAGTCGCTGGTGTCATAAAGGTGCATGTGTTTCTTCATGTCCTCGTACATGTCCTCGGTGCGAATTTCCAT